ATTTACACTTAGATTTAGAGACTTTGTGATTCACAAGGGAATTTACTGGCTCGCACATCACTTTATATTACAATAACAAAGAGTAACAAATATAAACATTGTAATAATAAATTTGTAATAAGAAGCAATAAAAATAGCCAAGAGATTGGTGTGAAATAAAGCATAATGATATAAATGGAGTAACAAATATTACAAAACAGGACATATAGTAAAATAAATCCAGCAGATCAACTTTATATACAAGAGGCTGGAGGAAAAGTTACAATGATTGAGACCGACAGATATGGCTCACGCTAAATATTGTATGTAATAGTAATGCATTTTAAAAAATAATGTTACTCAATAGAAGTACAAATAGTGCCCCAAGAAATTAAAGAAGAGTGAAAAAGTATTTTGGACAAGCACTACTTGAGTAAAAGTACAGGACAAATCTGAACAACAGGACATAATATTTAATTTATCATTTGAATTGAACTGAATTTGGAAACAAAACATAAGATGAAGAACATGATCTGATATTTTCAAAGGATAGACACAGAAATGAGAAAACCTAAAGCACATCTGAACGATGTGTATATGAACAGCTTTAGAATTTAAACCTGACAGATTCTCAGAAATAAAGTCAATGAGACAGCTATTACAAATAATAATAATTAAAAAACACTATATTATTCTAGAGTAAAAACATTCTGGCAGTTTTATTTTGAAATTCTCCAACACCACACTTTTTTCATTACAAAGAAGTGTTTCAGTTTACTTACTTGGTAAAAAAAAAATAAACTCATGTTTGAACAGAAGCAGCATTTTAGCAGTTATAAAATAGGGGAGGAAAGTAATACTTTTTCTAAAGTCTAACTGAACTTGTGTCAAAGATCTTGTAGCTGTGAACAAGCCAGACTGAAATTAATTCCTGTTATTAATTATATTTATAGAGTGGGACATTAAGTTTTAATTGTGGTAATTAGCAAGGCAAGTTTATGTACAGCATCATTCATACACACAGTAATTCAAAGTGCTTTACAGAATAAGAAATACATCAAAATCACAACATAAACAAATCAAAACATAAATAATCATCATAACATTAAAAAGACAGAAAAAAGCAATAAATGAGAGAGAAGAGTGCAGAATGAAAAATGAAAACCTTTCAGTCAGACGCAGTTAAACAGAAGTGTTCTGAGTCTGGATTTAAACAGAGTCAAAGTCGAGTCTGTCTCACATGTTCAGACTGTTCCAGGTTTTAGCTGCATGAATCTGAAACTCTGACTCCCCGTGTTTAGTCCTGACTCTGAGCACCAGCAATTAATTCATTAACTACAAAGAAAATAATGCATTAAAAATATGAACGCATTTGATCGCGGTTTGTCAACCAACGCGGAACGTTTCTCACTTCATCAATTCCTGGTACGACACTTATACTGACGCACACACTTCCGACAACAACAACAATGGCGCAGGAACATGAGCAGGAAAGTGTCTGGGTCTGGGTTTTGTTTTTTTTAATTCAATATGTTCAGGGACAGGGACATCGAAGACACACAAAAAACACAGAACTAACACAGAGGACACCTGGGCTGATATGCAGTCACTTACACAAGAGACAGAGAGAAAAAAAACAAGACAAGACACGAAACCAAGTCTACTTAACCAAATCAAAAGAATTAGAACAGTATCACATCTTATGTTACAAGTATTCCTATCGATATTGTATGTTTTAATAGCTTTTTTGTTTTTGACCTGTTTTACTGTTTGGGAATATGTTGTATTTGGTTTTATAAAGGTGCTCATTGTTTTTTTAAGCGCTGTGGATCTGCTGGACGGGACATTTCTATTCCAAAAACGACCCTGGAAGTATTGGCAAAGGACTAGTTTATTGCAAACTGTGCAGAGGAGAGTCTGATATCATAGAAGCACCTCAACCCTCCGACACCACTGAAATGAAACCTGTGACAGAAGAGAAGCTGCTCCGAGTCCAAACAAGACACAACCCAAACTCAAATGACAGGCCTCAGGAAGAAAAGCAGTAAATAGAGCAAATATTGTATACGATTAATTGATCTAACTCATTATAAAGCCTGTAATGAATGAGATTTAATTGTTTTAATCAAGTCCCACCCCTCATTATGTATGAACCTGGTATTTTCTTTGTTTAATCATTCACCTTGTACCGACCAGTAGAAGTTCAAACCAAAGAATCACAACAGAATAAATAACTGAACGGACTGACGAGGGAGAAATCTTGTTTAAAGTTTACAGTAATCCACTTTTAGATCACTAACTACACATGTTTGACTAGATACAACAAGGCCAAAAAGAGACATGCATGTGTGTCCACGTCAAAACAAATACAGCTGCTTCTGAGGAAAAAGATGAATAAAATATCAAAGGGACTAAAAAACATGACAGATTTCTGTTGTATGTTAATCTGAGGTGAGAGAAGTTTCATTTTGTCTTTTATGTGTTTTATGCCTCAGACTCTCCTTTGGTATTTAGTATTAGTGGTGATTGCCTGTGATGGCCTTTTTGATTACAAACAATAACTGAACTGAAACTGTGACCAAGACAATTTTAAATGTCACAAAATGAAATGTTGCTTGTGTGAAAATAAAGTACATAATGCTTCAGATAATAGTTTCACTGTTTAACAGCAGAAATGTAAGAGATTGACTGAATCTATATTATATGATATGATATTATATCAGATAATGGCTGCACTGAAATTTGAGGAGCCTTCTTTATTGCCAGATCCAAGTCACACAGCACACATTTATGTTCTTCTACCAGAACAGTAGAAGTTCAAGAACAAAGAATAATCACAACTTCTTTTAGTATAAATGAAGTGAAAAGAACAAGGAGGGAGAAAATGTGAGCTTTCTGTTACTTTTATTGATGTTCACAAACTAAATTACACCCTTCTCAAACATCACTTTACAGTGGTTTTCAAAAACTCATTTCTCATATTTACACACTGTCTGTGCAGTACATTCTCAA